CTAAAAACTATAAATAATTTAAAACATATTAAAAATACCCTAAAAAACCTCCTCTAATTTTGGCCCTATAAAAATCTGTAAGATTTAAAAGTGTAAAAGCAAAAGCTAGGTAAAACTATTTGGCAAGGCACTGAAGTTCATACTCCCCATTTCCCCACATCTCCACCACCAACTTCTCCCATTTGTTTTATTTGCCACTTGAAACAACGATCAGCTATAGCCTGGTTTTAAAGATTTCACTTGAAATGTTCCACAAACTTTGTTTTTAATGCAGTCTTACCAGTTTGTGATTGTGGTTTTTAACTTATTCCATTTATCTCAAGATGATGAATTCCAGGCAAATACCAATTTTGTACTTCCAGAATAAGCCTACGAATATGCATAACAGAGCTCCTACCCCAGGCTTTTAGTGACAAATGACATACCTCCTGGAGGTGAGTTTGAATTCTCCCCAGAAAAGAAGCAAACCTAAGTTAATTGTGTGCCACAGTCTTGACCATGCACAGTCCAATTATTCTTGGAATTACATTTCACAACAAGAAATGCCCCTTTCCCTGATTCTGGTGACTTATCAAGGAACAGCAAGCCTTAAATCTTTGCATTTACCTGCACATCCCAGCGTGCACCCTCCATGAACAAGCCATGGATATATGCACCTTCCCGTGGAGGGCTGGTGAAATCCTCACGGTTCCTCTTAGTCACATCACATTGCAGAGCCATTTTGTCCAGAGGCCACTCATTTTTTCGGGCCATGGATTGCATTATGGCTGTCAAGAAAGACTGTGGGTTAAAGAATCCTGCCAGCCACACCACAGATGGTAGCATGAAATCTCCTGTCCATGTTTCAAGCTCTCTGATGCGATTGAGAAGGTCGGTGAACCAACTGCCTAAACCAGACATGGAAGGATAAGCTCTCCTGATCCACGATTCAGGCACCATATCCAAGAAGATGGCATTCTGTAAAGTCTCCATATCATTAGTCATGGTCAATTCACCCTAAAACATGTAAGAAAAAGGAGCATGAGAGACACAGGATAGGCTTCAGCCAAAATGCACTAAAGATGTGAAAACAGCACATTTATTAGGATTTGCAGTGGATCTGAAAAAAGGTCACCTTCAGTTGCAAACAAGAATAGAGAACATAGGAAATCAACTAATTTTAGTAACTTGAAAAAGTCCTAAAATATCCAGGAGATATCTGTGGAACAGTTTAGATACTGCTGCTATATCATGAGCTTTTATCATTATTTGACAACACACTTCTAGCATTTGCTTGGCTTTTAAAATTGTGATAATGCAAATTATTACCTATTTTCTAAAGTTTACATGGTTTTATATATTCTTTTTTATAACACAGTTTTTTATCACTAGCTTTCTAATGGTAGGCTACCCCCATAAACCGAGTGTCTTCCTGTCATCTCTAATTTGCCTTCAAAATTGCACAAAAAGTAGGGGGGGGGGGAAGTGCATATACCTTCAATCCCAGGTCCAGCTCTCTCAGTGACCGCCTAATCTCACTAGTGAGAAAGTTCATGCGCTCACATTCCTGGAAAGCAACCACAATGTATGGTGTTCTCTCTTCTACCTTGGCCATCAGCTCAGGAATGTTAAACTCATCTGTTAGTTTCTCCAGGATGTCATCAAGCAGTGCCTTCACCTACATGCCAGGGAGAGAGGATTTTGTTGAAACTTACCTGCACAAATTACTAACAACTTTAAGTAGCCTTAGAGAAGTTAATTTCCCCTTACTGAAGAAAAGCTGAGTCAATGCAAGCTTGGCTCCTTTAATCAAGCCATCTAACAGACTATTATATCTACAAGTATTCACAGAGGTTCCATCTACAGAAATGGTTTTAAAAATACCCACACATTGTGCAGATACTCTGTTTTTTCTCCCTGATTCTCTGTGCCTGGGCCTCATTTTCAGATTAGGGTAGTTCTAATCTGAAGATAGATGAAGTTATAAAAGGGAAAAAGAAAGAAAGAAACATCAGAGCATACTTTATAGAACCTCCTTAAGAGTCATTTTGTTCAGCTATTGTCACATGCAATCATTCAGAGGCAGTGGTGCTCTGGTTTCATCCTCCTGAGGACTTTTCTTTTGCTTCAGGCTGCAGCTTGGTGGCACCTCTGCCCAAATTGGACTGTAAGACTGAATTGTTCGCAGGATTTGGGACTTGGACTAGAAGGATCACTGCGGAAGGAGGGTGAGGAAGGGCCAGGGTGACCTGGCACCAACCTAGCTAGTTAGGAGGTTAGGCCAGTGGAGTCTGAGTATCTGAGTAGTATTAAGACTTTACATAAACCTCATGAAGTGTTTAGTCTGGCTGCCACTGATTCACAGGAACTGCCTCAAGTGTGAGGTGAGGTGGGGGACTAATAAGCTCTATTTGAGGTGAGAGACAAGTGGGGATTGAAGCACAAACCGCTCAGGTATAAGTGGAAAGGTGCCTGAGAACCCTGACGGCTTCTGCTATGGTGACATAGGAAAGGTATGCAAATGGGATTGATTACAAGGTGAGGCCCAGCTGACTGGTATTCCAATAATTGTTCTGAATGCCAGACTGGCTATGACATGGATGTTCCCTCCTGTTTATACACTGAGGGAAGGACCAGTTTTCCTCTGCAGGAGGAGGATAGGGTTAGTTACATCCCTGTGTCCCTGCAAAGGGAGATATGGCAGCAAGCAGACCATTTCAGAGGAAGAGGACCTCCAATTTGGTGGAAGTGTTAACCTGATTTCCCCAACCTGCAAGCCAGGTGACTGCACCGCTGGTGTCTTTGGCCTCAAGGTGCTGATGGTTAATGCCAGGTCTGTCTGTAATAAGGCCTCTTTCATCCACATTCTGGTGCTACATGAGGCAGCAGACTGGGCATGCATTATCAAAATCTGCCTGGATGGTGGCAACAATGTCGCCTGATCAGAAATCTGGCCAACGAGGTTTCAGGACCTTCAACTACCTTGATGCCAAGGTTAGGGAGGAGCATTGGCTTTGATCATGAGGGTCACCTTACTTTTAGACAAGGTTTTGGATCCTGAGGTAGGTGTGAGTAGGTGTGTGGGCTGCAGAGACAAATTGGGATCCTATAGGTAGGTGTTCTGCCCACTCTTCTGCCAGGCAGGATTCCTCCCTGGGCTCCTGGAGCTAATTTCTGGGCTCATAGTGGAGAACCCCCAACTTTTGGTGTTGGGGAACTTTAGCCTCTGTATTCTGGGGGCCAGCTCCAGAAAAGCCTGAGAGTTCATGGCTTCCATGGCTACCACGGATTTGTCCCAAGTAATCTTGAGCCCAAAATACATACAGGCTCATACATTAGACCTTGTTTTTGTCTCAGAGTGGATGCAATCTGTAGATGGAAATGATTTCCATCACCCCCTTGCTGTAGTCAGATCATAAGAGCTACCCATGATTTCATTAGGGCAGAGGGACAAATTTGGATGGTGCACCCCAGACATGTAATAGATTCAAATGGGTTCCAAAGAGCCCTTAGTGAATGTCCCAGCTCTCTGGCCTATGGTTCAGCACCTGGTGAATAACTGACAATGGGAGGCAAGCTGGCCCTGGATACCATTTATAGTTCTACAATGCTGAGAAGCAAGAAGGGCCACAGCTAGAAGGTACTGGTTCTCTGTGGCAGCATCAGTACTTTGGAATAGCCTCCAAACAGAGATCAGACTAGCCTCCTCTTTGTTGATTTTCAGGAAGTTGGTCAAAACATAACTATTTCAGAGGGCATTCTCTTAAGTTCATGCATTACACCACCTGTTGTTCTATTTTAATGTAGCTATATTGTATATTGTTTTAAGGCTGTTATGACTGCTATTTAACTAATTATTTTAACCATAGCATGGATGTTTTATACATTTTTCTATACTATGCATTATGTAAGCCACCAAGAGTTGCTAGATTGCAATGGGATACAAATGCAATCAATCAGTTTTAATGTGAATTATTCCATCATGCTACAAACGATATAAGAAGCATAGCCTAGCTGCCAGATTTTGGATGAGCTGGGTGATAATGTAATTAGTATCCTCTAAATGAGACAGAAGGAGCTTCAATCTCCTTCCTAATATACTTTGAAGTATTCCCTGCAACTAGAGAAATCTTATCTCCATTCCCCAGCCCATCATTTCTAATCAGTCAGAACTAATAATCACAAATCAGAGACATAGTAAGTCCATCCACATTTTTGCTCCTAGAATAAGGATATGTATTTTTTCCTGGGAAGGTAACTGAAAGCAGCTTTTCAATGGCATGTCAGGAGCCATATTCCCAAAAGCAGTGGGAGAGAGAGGAGGCAAGGCAAAAACTAAATTTGAAGGGAAGCCCATAAAGAAACATGATGCAACAGAACCCTCCCATTCATGTTAACAAGGAATGAATACTGAGAAATAAATGCCTCTGATAATAGAAGTAATATAGAGCAGTAGTAACTACTGTAATAATTACGGACAGTTTCATTTTGCTTGACTGGGCAAAGCAACAGTCAGTCTTCCCAAAGAGGTGAGTTTGTGCTTATCCTCCAAATTCCATGAGAAAAGTGCCCTACCAAACAATATCCAACAAGAGACCCAGATTGTAACTGCCCAACATTCTCTGTGTTGGGAACTCTGAACTGGGCAATGAAATCCATGTTCTTTTCAATTAGCAAATTATTAGTAACTAGGTTAGCTAGGCTGACTACATAGCTTTCATTTGGAATTCAGTATGTGCAATTGTTACTTCTCTTAGTTTTCTTGTATCCTCTTTGCCAATAGACTCCTTTAAATTTGACTTCATTGATATAACAAGGGAATATTTTATTAAAACTTTTTCCACATGCAAGACTGCATGCTTGTACAGCTAGCCCATATGCTATTTTTTATGGGGGGAACCTTGGAAAAAGGAATACATCGGTGATGTTTCAATTATTCTCCCAGCTTTGAATAATTTGGTATGACTGTTCCAATTTCCATGAAAAAAAAAGTCACACTATTCCCATCCTGCCTAGCCAAAGTTCCTAGCAGTGCTCTTACTCCTGCAGTTCTCCATCATTCTCAAAAGGTCTAAGGCAGCATTTTTCAACCTTAGGAACTCTAAGATGTGTGGACTTCAACTCCCAGAATCCCCCAGCCAGTATGGCTGGCTGGGAAATTCT